CGGTATTTGCTCTGTGTTTCTTATTTAATAAGACCGTTTAGAATTTCTTCTACAAGACAAAATATGATATTAGATTTTAATGTTTTACAATGTTTGCATATTAAAAATGTACTATTATATAAATTCAACTTCTAAAAGGCTCCCTTTCACCACAACGGTTTTGCTCATGGGTAGGAAGATCTAATTCATTGGTTTTATTAAGCTATTGGACCCAAACTGTTACGAAAAACTGGGCTTTTATTTGTTTGCAAATAAAATGAATTATCAAGCATTCCTGAATTCATATTTGGACTTTCGAAAACATTTAAGTTATGCTTTACTGTGTCTCACAGGTTTTACTGAATTATCTACTGAGAAATGTAAAGTACATTTCACTACGCTTTCTGTTCAGTATGCTACATTCAAATCTATCAAATTCTTTTTTTTTTTTTTTAAAGACAAGGGAACCAGGTACAGTCCAAATTCTTCTGGTATGTTGTATTGATTGTAACCAATTATTTTTCATACAAATGAGCAAAATCTCAGGAGAATTAAAGTGTAAACATTCTTGATGGCTCACAGCATATTTCTATTCTCTTTGGAATAGTTTCTCAACAAGTAGTATATATCAATCACATATATATATATATATATATATATATTATATATAGTTATGTATATATCATTATTTTGAGGCCAATATGCAATTACCAAGTTACTAGAGTTGTTGAGAGAAAATAAGGAAAATCAGGAGTATCTCATAATAAAAAGAAAAGGGAAGTAATATGTATCTTCATATTTTCTGAATAAATGGAAGTTGTACAAATATGCTCTACTTAAGATACAACTATTATACCACTTTAATATTACCAATCTGTCGAACAATTGAAATGGGACGCTGCTAATTTGACATTCTCCAGTCCCTTCCAGCAAGCTGCAGGAGGAAGTCATTATCACCTGGCATTTTTCTTCAGGTTCTCCCAAGACTGGTCCAAAGAAGATGGCATAAAGTAAGGAGCTCTGAGAAGAATACTTAGGTTCTGTAATTACGGCGCAAATGTTGGAAACAGTTCTGAAAATCCTTAGAACTGAAAGTGAAAACCAAACTAGCCTGGGAGACTGAAAATAGGGAGAAACACGAATCTACAGTCCTTGTTAAATGGCAATATAAGAAAGAAAATACCAGCTGCCAGTCCTAGCTGGGATGGCCTCCTGAAGCTCAGTAGTTTCACCAAAAGAAACGGAGCAGTGCAGCAACCAGCCTACTGAGGCTCCTTCTCTTGTACCCCAGGCAAAGGCTGTAAAGCCAGTCTTTCCTTCCCTACAACTTCAAAGGGCCGCAGCTAAAGAAGCTCCACTCCGAGCTGCGCGCACCACCAGCGCAGGCGACAGACAGCGGGCAAATCGCTGCTCTGCTCCGGCGCGAACTGCAGACAAGGAATAACGAATACCTGTTTGCCTCTCCCGGATGCTGGCACTTGCCGCCATCTTGCTTCCCACCATCCACTGCCCGGCTGGCACTGGGTGCCCGAAGATGACGTGGCTCACCCTCCCGCCCCGGAAGGAAGCGGCGTCAGAGGGGGCGGGCCTGGAGGGAGCCGCCCCGCCCCCTGCGTCCCAGCGCTCGCCCGTCGTCCCAGAGGTCCGTGTTTCCGGATGTCCCCGCAGCGCTTCCGACCAATCCAGCCGAGCCTTCCGAGGTTTGCTGCTCCTGAGTTGCTTCTCTGGGCGGAGACTTGTGATGCGGGTCCAGCCCTCAGGTCCGTACCGCGCTTTTCACGGGGTTTAAAACGTCGTAAAAATTACAAGACTATAGGAAACGCTGGAAACTGCAATGCCGTGGTTCCCTTCACAGCAGAAATGCCCTTTCCCTATTTTCTCTGAAAACGTTTACTTACAAACGCGGCAGATTTCTGTCTCATTTCAAAAGCAAAATGACCCAGCTTTATGGTTTTTGGTCAGCTAGGGTAAAAAATCACGGAGGAGCCAAAGGGCCGCATTTCTTCCTTTCAGCAGTGCGAATTCAGAACCACCACGAACATTATTCTGAAAAGAATCTGGATGATCACAGCCTGCTTTGGTACATTTTAAACTCTGTAATTATGAAACAAATCCCTTATCGACCGTTTGTATGATAGATTTTATTAATGTCAAAAATAAATACAGTGACAACTTATTACCATTCAGTGAATTCACTGAAGACATTTCATTAAAGTGTTAATTCTGAAGCAGTCGGATTCTGAGATAAAAATAATACCTTCAAAAAGTTGGCTTTCGAAATAACAAAATTATTTTTTCTATTTTTTAAAGGCAAGATTACATTTTACAATAAAAACATGGGCTCTATTTGACAGATAAAAAATGTTTATCTTTATAAAATGTTAACAGGTTATCTTGTTTTTTAAACCACCAGGAAATACCTTAGCCTAGAATCAGGATTTGGATTCTGCAAGAATTAAAGCTTTTATTTTATAGCTGACACATGCATTAAGAAATCAAATAGAATGTTTATTGAGGTTTTCTTCAGTGCTATTACTAATATTTTAAAGGAAGCTTCAACAACCTAGGTTTGTAGTGGAAATTAATTAACAGTTTCTGCCTTACGGAAAATATTCTGGATTCTAGTATCCACGAACTATGAAGCCTAATGGCATTTCCACCTTGCAGTAAGTTCAATTTTAGTCACCTGAGCATTCCCACTTTTCAGTACAAATTTGCCATTTAACCATTTAAGTTAGACCATAAACTCCTTCCAAAACTGTAAGGCACATTAAGGTAAAATACTAAGACAATGCAAACATTTATACAATGTGTTTCTGTTGAATAGTGTATAGTGTGGGGAATAAACATAAAGAAAAATACACCCCACAGAAGAATAACTATATAAAACAATCCTTGCAAAGCAAATACCAATATTTTCTCTTGACCTTATTATACTTACCTTGTATTATTATAATCAGAATAAAAATCATGGCTTCAGAATGTTAATTTACTGTAGTTGTGTATATCTGACTCCAGATTTTTTGGCTTAATTAAACCACATTGGGGGATAGTTTTATCACAGCATAGTAGCCCAGAACAATTCACTTCTTAAGGGTTCCACGATCTCTCAAACACGAATAATAAAGGATCTGGATCTTACCCACTTTAATAAGATTACTAACTTTTTTTTTTTTTTTTTT